GAGCGGTTTCAGTGTCTTGCTGGGTGAAATAAAGTAAAATCTGTAGTGATCCACTCGAGCAGAACAGTAAGGAGGCTTGGCTCCTTAGCTGCTACTACTTAACTACTACAAACAAATATCCTTTTTTTCTTCATTCTGCCTTTCAAAAACAAGGTGTGCGTGTATCTTATTCCAGGGTGTGTTGTATGAGAGAAGTGTTGCTTTCTTTAAAGTTGAACTTGCTGTGATAAGATTTTTTTTGTTCTGCGAGTGCTTTTTTGTTTAAACACATACTGCTGTTCAGCTAGAGCTGGATAGACTCTCACTAATTTTGACATTGTTTTAAAAGGCAAAGGAACAGAAGAAATGGGTTGGTTCCCAACCAATAAGATGCAAGCCAGTGGAGAACTCCAGAACAAAATGTCAGTGACAGAGCGGCAGTTGCATTAACCAGCTTAGTCGAGATTTGGTCATCAGTTTTGCCTTTAAATGGCAAATTTTGGAATTTTCAGCACAGATGCTATTTTCACCTTAACTTATTGATGTGAAAACTGGATATCAGTCCCAGAGGTAGAGACAAACATCTAAGAGCCTTCAAAAGGGAATTATTCAGAAAAATGCTAAGTATCAAATGGGATAATTTTGGAACAGTTGCTGCGATTGTCAGCTTGGATCAACTCCTTAGCTGTGTCATTTGGGAAAAAAAATGTGGCAATATTTCCAGCCTGTGTTAAGAACGAAGCAGGGTGCATTTGTTGGCAGACATGTAATTGGGCAGCTAAAGGAATATTCCAGAGGGGCTGACTCAAAAAAATTATTTCTAAATAACACTGAGAGGGAATACTTAATGTGCAAGGAGCTACCAAGGTAGACAAGGATGGCAGAACCTTATTTGTGTTTAAGCAATGGTACAGGAAGGATTCAGAATCAGTAGTCCACCTGACCTTAATTTCTCTCTTCTCATGGATTCCTTGGTCTTATTTGGGCTTCTATAGTTCCTTTCCAGATGACTCACCATCTAGATGTAAGAAATGCCTTTACTTACATTAGTATACCCATGCTTTTTCTGCAGAGTCCAGCTGTTGTTTCAGAGATACTATTTTGATGGGACTTTTGACTTATTTTTGAACAGATCTGAATTGTTTAAGCACTGCTTGTGCAGATCTGAGAATGAGTTGTCACTAAACAGACATTAATTATTAATGAAAAAGTTATATTATCAAAGTAAAAAATACTGTTTCCTATTTGATAGGATGAGTTTAAACCCTTGGCTGCTGGAATTGCGTAAACAAACTTTTTCTATAAAAAGCAAGAATTAGTAATCAAAGAAAACTTTCCAACTTAGAAAAGCTTTTTCTTTATTCTGAATGAACAAAACTTGTCTGTAATAGTCTTGGTGTACTTTTAGGGTTCAGTTTCTGACTATCTTGTCTATTCACCTAAAGATGATAGATACTTTTGAAATGGAGACACACACTTTTGGCTCTTGCCTGTTAGGTATGTGTTTTTTGTTCTCCCCAATTCTGATCCTGGAATAGAAATTGGTGTGTAACTTTTGTACATGAGTAATTCTGTTAGCTTCAGTAGGACTCTTCAGGTGTGTGAAGTGAAGCATGTTCATTAGTGTTTGCACTTTCAGAGCTGAAGTAAGAGATGTAGTCATACTTTTCTTAGAGGAAGAAAATCGTTGGACATGTCTGTCCCACTTGAGGACTTCAGGGAGTACCGTAGTGAACCACAGCACTTCCAGCTTCGTAAGCCCTAACTGTTAAATGGATGCAGTAGAGCCACCTTGTTGTACTGCTGAATGCGCTGAAAGCTCTTGCTCCTGCTAAAGACTGAGCATCTCTGGCATAGAAGACAGTTTTAAAAGTCCTGACAGCACTTAATTGGTGTGTGTTAGGATTCGGTCTTGTTTGCACATATGATAGAAGATTGTAGGAAGTTATGTAGTGATGGACACTTCAGCATGTTTGTCGGTTATGTCCAAATGATTTCTGACATAAAATTCTCTTGCTTTTTGTTTTAATAAATAAAAGTTATACTTAATCTGAAATGGGTAAGGAGAAGGGTTTGATTTAACAACAGTTTCTAGCCTTGGAGAAAAATCGCACTGTTTTGTGGGTTTGGGGGGGGTGGGGGGAGTTGTGTTTAATTTTGTTCTTTGGACACTGGTGTTAATACTAGTGGTGACTTTAGGGATGTCATTAACTTACAGGTATGTTATTAACTTTAGTCATAATTGCATAACATCTGTGTCTGAGAGGTAGTTATCTATGTGGGTCTAAAGTGAGGCAGGATATTTCATCCAGTCCTTTCCTTCTGTTCTGACTTCCTGTTTTGTACACAGAGTATTATTTAACATTTTGTACAAAATAAGTCTGGTACTAATATGTCAAACTTAACTTTATTCTTGATACTTAAAAAAAAAAAAAATTACAGTGCGTAGAAAACTATAATTATACATGGCAACAGCTAAACTAAAATTGTAGTTTAGCTATCTGAGGGGGAAGGAGAGGATGAAAAACAAATTGTGCCAGCTGCTTGATGTAACTTTTAGTGTTTTCCAAATTTTGATACCTGGAACACACTTTTGTTCTGGATTAATATTGGTGGCACACTTTACTCCCCAGGTGGGCCCAGGATCATCCAGCTCGTTTTTTGTGGCACGCTTTTGCTGGTCTCTGCTATAGTACATCCTTTGGGAATTACTGACTTAGTGTAATTACACTAATTTGTGTTATTTGCTCTTTAGTAAGCAAAACTATTTGGTATGAAACACTTTAAATGTACCTTACCATGTAAAATATATTACATTTAAAAGCAGGTAACTAGAGATCTGTGAAACTTACTTCATAATAAGGTTAGCTCTTGTAGTGATCTTTAGCACAGTAAAATTGTTTGTGTGGTATTGATATGAATTTAATCATTGGAGAACTGTAGAATGAGAATCTAACATAATGGCATATGGAATTTCACACTTAAGCCTTATTATAAAAAGTCTCATTCTTTTAGTAAAATGCGCGCACACACAAATTGAGCTATTTTAAAATGTGGCATCTTGGGTAACTGAATGCTATTGTTAATGGCTAGGGACAGGTTCCAATAAATCTGAGTTCCTGTATGTGCATATCTCTGCAAATACATTCACATTGTACAAATGTTAAACAATAAACTATTATGTAAATGCTGTATAAATACAAATATTAATTGAGCAGAAAAATGATTTATCTTACCAGCTGAAAACGTGTTCAGATAAGACATACTTGATGTCCACATTTTGCAAATATTGCAAGGGTTATGGTTTGAAAAACTCATTTTAAGCAATTTTCAAAATTGGATTTAGGTTACAAGGAATATTTTTTTTTTTTTCAAATTTTTATTCTAAAGTGTAATTGTAGTTTTTGTATCTTTGTGGGAGTTCATTATCATACAAAATGCCTACACTATACAATTCTAAAATTTCTGGGTAATCTTTGACTTCTGATTAGTTTAGTTGCTACCTTACTGTTTATTACTCATAGAATTGTGGGTTAGAAGCAGGTTGGATACAAATTATTATTTTTCAATAAAACCCAACATTTTCAATTGGATTGGGTGGGGTTTTTTTTAGTTTTAAGATGGCTTATTTTTAAAAAGGAAAATTTGATCAGAATTTGTTTTATTTAATCTGATTTGAATTTTAAAAAAGATTGTTTTTATCTGTCTTTCTTTTGCTTCCAGGTTTTCCTTTTGATTTTGGGGCAATCAGTATGCTCTTTGTGCAGCTGCAATTGCCATTCTCTTGTACTTACATTGTGTTGGAATAACTTCTTGAGCTTCCAGTGCTGTACTCTTTAGAAACTGTCTAGACCCCTTTTTCCTTCAGTTTCTCCTCCCTTGGGACCTTGCCTAATTTCCCTGAATCAGCTGAAATCAGTGATTTTGAAATCTAGTGTCTTTGTTTTGTTAGCCTCATGCTTTTCCTATCTTAAAATCATTATTTTTATCCTATCGTGATCACCTCCCCGTTTTCCCTATCACTTTCTCATCCTCAGCCAGTTCTTACCTGTAGGTCAGGACAAGATCCAAGGTAGATGATCTCCTAGTCCTATGCTCATCTTTTTGGAACAAAGTTGT